AGCATGAGGCTGCCGCGGACCATGTGCAGGACACATTTAGGGCCCGCTCCCCTGTCTATCGGTACCTGGTTGTCGGCCAGAAGGTCGACAACAAAGGGGTCATGATGCTCCGTTGCACGTTTGGCAACAAAGTTTTCCAAGGGACCCAGTTTCAGGCCACGAGGCACTTCTCGCAGACAAACTACTGCAAGGACGTCAGCGACGAGGCGTTGTGCGAGATTGCTTGACGGACTCAGCAAAAGTTTGAGGCCGATCAGATGGAGAGGGTGTCGAGGTATGCAGCGGAGCGCGGACTCGATGTGCCCGGCACGGGCGGTGCAAGGGGAGGAGAGGCGGGGCGGCGTCCGGCGGAGGGAGGGGTCGGGGGAGATGGTGGGCATGGTGCTGCAGACCCCACTTTGGGTGGTGGAGGTGGTGAGACAGAGGAGGGTGTGATCCACGTGGATCGCGAGGCGCGTGGCCCGAGTGACGAGGGAGTCCCGGAACGGGAGGACGTGCCTGAGGTTTATCCAGGCACTGGGGAGAGGTTGGAGGAGTGGCGGAGGCGAGCAGGCAAGGGAGCTGCAACGGAGGGGTCTTCTAAGAGGTCGGAAGGAGGGAGTGATCCGGCTGCCACCCCAGCAGGGAAGAGGCTTCAGCAGCAGAAGGTGACTGATGTCTACGGTGGCGAGTGGGTTGCCCGCCACAAGAAGGCATTCCTTCGCTGGTTGTATTCCAGCGGGGTCTCCTTCAATGCCTTCCGCAACCAGGCGTGGAAGGCATATCAGCAGGTGCTTCTTGAGCAGCCTGGCAGTTCCCCGCCCGCAATGCTCCCCAACCATTGCGAGATTGCGAGTATGCGGGCGGTGGAGACCCACCGTGCGGAGTTGGCGGAGGAGTTGGAGGAGGTGAGGCAGCCATTCTGGGTGACTGGTGCCACCCTCCTCTCCGATGGGAGGAAATCACGAGACGGGAGACCGATCGTGAATTTCCTTGCTGCTGGCTCTCGAGGGGTCGTCGTGTACACGACGATCAATCGAGAGGGCGAGCCGGACGATGCAGTGCACGTCCTTCGTAAATGGGTTACCATCTTCCACGAGTTCAGCTTTGGCGGGCCGCAACGGATCAATGTGATATGCACTGACATCGCTTCTGCCTATGTGGGGGCTGCGAGGGCATTGACCTCGCCGTCCATGCCTCCTGCACTGAGGAGGATCACTTGGCTCCCGTGCTCCGTCCATGTCTGCAACAAATTGTTGTCAGACATGGGGACGAGTTGCGACGCGTTTGTGGACGCGATCACATGCGCTCGTGTGCTAGTGGTGTTTTTCAAAACCCACCAGGCCGCCCTTCATTTTTTTAGGATGCGCAGCCTCGAGAAATGGCTTATTCTTTCTTGCGAGACACGGTTCGCGTCTGTTTACTCCATGTTGGAGAGGCTGTTGGCCCTGCAGGACACTTTGCAGGACATGATGCGAGGGGACGATGCGCGGGCTTTTGCTTCCATCCCGTGGTCCGCCGATGTGTGCGTCATGGCGCGGTGGATGCGCCGACAGATCAGATGGGATCCATGGTGGCAGAGGGTGGCCACCATCGTCCATATCATGCAGCCCGTCATGGAGTTGCTCAGGAGGATAGATCGTGGAGGACAGTACATGTCCCTCATGATCGAGTGGACAGAGGATCTTGTCCGCCGTGTCACGGTCGCATGCGCCCCTTTGGGGACGTCGTTCGCCGACCGGATCATCAGGCGTGTGCAGGCTCGCATACAGCACATGCTTGAGCTGGCTCACTGCGCAGGGTTCTTACTGAACCCCCGCAGGTGACACGTTCGCTACTTTTCGGGGCAGGTGGAGAGGTACGATGCTTGGCTTGTGGGGCAAGCCAAGAGGTACATTTTGACGCAGACGGGATTCGAGATGGAGGGTGCGGAGTACATCCTTGCATGTCGGCAGTTTGAGGACTTCCACATTCAGCAGGGCAGGTTTGGGGATTGGGGCGGTCCGGAGGGGCGTGCTCGTGGGCGCGCGTGCAGCGGCGACGGCGAGACGATTGAGTGCGCGTCTTGGTGGTCTCAGTTCGGGTCGGGCGCGCCACAGTTGCAACGTTGTGCTCTTCGGGTGATGCACATATGGTCTTGCGCCTCTCCAGCGGAGAGGAACTGGGCAGTCCACGAGGGCATTCACACGAAGAAGCGCAACCAGTTGGCCTTCGAGAAGGTCGTGCAACTCGTTGAGATCACCGTAAATGTGCGGTTGACTGAGTATCGGCGGGCTGGATGCGGTTATGTGCTGCCATGGCAGCGGGACGAGGACATATTGGATTGCCAGGCAGGACTCGAGTTGGAGCCTGTGCGCACGGGAACTCGCAGGGGGATGACGGACGAGGAGATTGCCCGTCGGGTTGCACTTATTACCTGGGATCCCATCGGGGCGTCCGCACCACCCTCGGCTGATGCCGTTTTCGATAGACGTGCTTGCATTTTTCGTCCCTACCCCAGGGATGACGACTCAGACGAGGAGCCGATACCCGAGGCGGCAGATGACCCTGCGCTCCGCATTCCCCGGGAGATCGACGAGACGCACGAGGATCCCAGCTCCGAGGACACGAGGACACAGACTTCACGACGGGCGGCGGACCGGGCGGAGAGCGAGATGCCGGGGGGAGACGAGGACTTTTGGGGCCCATTCGGTGAGGTCGCTTCCACGGGCGTCCTAGAGGCGCAGGCGACGACCCCCACTCCGACAAGGTGGGATTCGTCCGTGCCGCCACCTCCTGCTCCGAGTCCTGCACCACGATCGTCCGTCTCGCCACTGCAGCCGGACAGGGAGGAGTTGGGGTCCTCTTTGCCTCAGCGAGGCCTTCTCCACAGAGGCGGGGCATCTGCCAGCTTAGGTTACGATCACCTTCCCCTGGGATAGGGTAGAAGGAGGGGGGACCTTCGGCAGCAGCAGTGGAGAGTTCGATGGCACCAGCGGCTGTGTCGGACGTGACGATCGCAGCCGCGGTGGAGGAGATAGCAGCAGCAGCAGCAGCATCAGTGCTAGAGGAGATGGCAACATCAGTGCTGGCGGAGGATCCACCAGCGGCAGGAGGAGGTGCAGCAGTGGAGGGGCAGGTGGCAGCAGCAGGAGGAGCAGGTGGAGGAGCAGCAGCTGTGGAGGTTGAGGTGGCAGCAGCACTGGAGGAGGAGGATGCACCGTCGGCAGCTGCAGTGGAGGAGGAGATAGCTGCACAGGTCGAGGTGCAGCGTGGGGGCGATGACGAGCGCCTCATGCAGCAGTTCCTCACGGAGGAGCTCGGTCCTGCCATAGCGGATATGACCCCGGGTGTGGAGAGGGGGGTTGGGATTTCAGATTCGGAGATGGGAACCCACTTAGACTTGGATTTGTTGGTGGGCCTTCCACCCAGTTGCGGCGGGGCGACATCGACGGATCGGGCTCCATCGAGGGACGAGGCGCCAGGCAGGACTTCGACGCAGACCGCCAGAGAGAGGACGACGACTCAGTCTCCAGATGCAGCACACGACATCATGGAGCGAGAAAGGGCTAGACTTTTGGCATTGACTGACCCTCATGCTCAGGCGTTCGCACGGGCCATAGAGGACGCCAGGTGTCTAAAGATAGGGGGGGATTGTGTGCAGGGTGGGGTGGTGGCGGGGGGGGACGTTGCCGAGGGAGTGGCAGCAGAGCCGGTACCCGAGGCTATGCCGGGTGGAGCAGAGACAGCGGACGTTGCTGTGGAGGGATGGACTCAGGCGGTGGATGAGGCAGTGCAGGCAGGACAGCGACGAGTCGAGGGGGCTATAGACTCACGACGCGAGGGGCAGGAGACAGCGACGGGTCCAGTCGTTCCGTTCTCGGGCCTGCACTTGGCTCAGGCCCGACAGCCGTAGGCGGTTCAGATGGCAGTGCATGGTGTGCCACCGCCCGTTATCACAAAATTTGGGGTCCGAGCCGGTGGTTGTGCCCCCACGTCTTCCTAGCCACTTTGCTCCGCAGGAGGTCCGTCGTCCTTTGGATGTAGAGGAGTTGGCGAGAGAGGATGTGCGCGATGTTACTCGCTTGGACTGGCGGATCTTCGACCGGAAGCTCGAGCACCCACAGTGGAAGTCGATCCCTTCGGTTCCATGGGGTCCTGCGTCGCCTGTGTGGTCTGGTTCTACCTCCACTGGAGGACATACCGCGGGACATGTTCCAGGGGTTTCGGGTGGCGTGACGGAGACAGCGCCACGCACAGGAGACATGCCACCCCCTCCTCCCAGAGCACCTGCAGGTGATCCATCATCGTCACCCACAGGCAAAGGCTCTCGATCCCCACACACGCTTGGGAGATCTAGGATTCATGACACGACAGCAGTTCAGCAGGACGTGTGTGACACGACGATATTCGGGAGGACAGATATACATTTGGATTCCACCCGCCGTGTCACGAGGCACACTGCACGCCTTCAGCCGGGCTTGGGAGGAGGAGGCGCTAGGACGACCACGGGGAGGGAGGTACCGGCATCGAGTTGTGAGCCTCAGCGAGGTCGTGGCACAGGAGTGTCGACCGATACCTTGGAGTACGCTCTGAGAGCAGCGACGGGTGCCGTGCAGGAGCAGATTCCACACAAGCGTGGAGTACCTCCTCGTCCACGCCCCGTGCCTGGAGAGGGAGGCGCAGCACTTGGAGAGAGTTCGGGGGCGGAGGGGTTGGGGATGCCTCGTGGTTCCCGCCGTGAGCAGACCATTGCAGAGGCTAGTGCGAGGGTTGTTGTGTTGAGGAAGGGAGGAGGCCAAGTCACCATCGAGGAGGATGATCCTGATACGGATGCGGCTGTGCGGGATGCGGACGAGGACTACGAGGGCGAGGAGGAGGGAGAGAAGGATAGCAGGAGCGGTTCTGATGGTGACGACGACAAAGACTACAATGAGCCCCTACCTTCCCGAGGACCCCCACCGACGCGTGCATCTAGACGCTCCGCCGCACGGACTTCTTCATCCTCATGAGGGAGGAAGAGGTCGACATCCGGCACTCGAGAGGGCACGAGGAGACACAACGGGAAGGGGAAGGTCGACATCCTGCACATCTATTTGCCGAGATATGATGAAATATCCAGTTTGTAATTAACAAGATTATTCCTCCGCATAAAGAGCTTAGCGGTTTTATCACAAAATAATAATAAACAGTAATTGATCAAACACAAAGTGTTCACACATGACACATAAACGTTAGAACTAGTCACACAACTCAATGCAATCGCACAACCCATCCTCATTTGTCACTAAAAAATTTCCAATCTTCATCTAACAAAACGCCCAATATGTTGTTCGTCTCGGTACAACACGCAGATCATCTTCGAGATTATTAGTTCTCGTTGTTCCCGAGCCTCAATCAACAGTCTCAGTTGTGCTAAATCTTTAAGAGAAACAATATCCTCAGGGTAATTAATTTCCCTGCTTTAGGAATTCCATCAACGGCAGATACAGCAGAGTGACACATCCCCGTTATCGATTTATCAATGAAAACTCTAAATGAGGATTTCATAATTTTGGGATTGTGAAAGATGTCTGAGGCTTCCTCCTGCACAGGAAATGGTGATGATACTCTTTATTTCTCAATAGAAAACACCCTCAATGACCAAACAATTACACTCATCGATTGTAATGACCCTGGTCCGGTTTTCGTTGAGCTTATCACCCCACAACTACTTCGGACTAGATAAAGAAGTTTCTTATGTCGCTCGTTTTGAGTCCGACAACATGCAAATGATGCAACTATGCGTTATCATCACATTCAAACCTCTTCAAGCGAATATGTGAATAGACCAGTGTTCGAGTTTAAGTGGATTCTTTAAATGCAGACTTTAATCACAGCTTGATCCAACCTTCACTTAGGGATGGTCCTTTTGGTTCGGTGGACGTCAATCAGGGCTCGACTTTTTCAAAGGGACGTCAGCAAAGGTAGTAACCTATTCTCATGTGAGAATATTTGACTTTTGTAGTATCAATGAAGATCATCTCAGATATATTTGCCCAATTTGATTTACATTTGACCCCTTTCTGTTTTCTTTTCGAAAGGATCAATCATAGTTGTTTAGGATAACCGAATCATCCGATCGGGATGGACTTGATTAGGTAAGTGCTTCCAACTTGAATATGTAGTTCACTCCTTGGAGCTCGAGGTGGAGAATTAAGAATTAAAATTGGACAGAGGGTGGGTTATAAACCTTCAAAGATTCGAGAGAGAAATAACCATTGAAAGCTCTGCATGAAATGTGAGATCAATTAAGGATAAAGGGGTCTGTTCTTTTGGGTAAGCAACCCCAATTTTATTTGTTTTTTATTTTTCCCCATTCGTAAAAGGGTTTGTTGATCGTGATATCCTCCGTCTGTTTTCTCTACAGACATTGCATGAAAAGTCAATGGTGGAGTGTAGTGGTAGCATGCCTTATACAAGATCTGCCTGTCTTCCCAAGACTCAGAATCACACATGCGTAGTTGTCAATTAACGTTTTTCTTTTCCCTTTTTAGCAAAATGATATTTAATAAATAACTGATAATCTCGAATTACAGGCACCTTACTTTCCGATAGCTTTCCCAATTGATCGAAAGCAGACTTCTTCATTACAACCATATTGCGCTATTTGCTCTTGGTCAAAATCTTTCGAAGTATTGAACCTTGCCATCTGTCCCGCTAAAAATAAGTTCCTGTTGGTGAAACACAGGTTCTCCGGTTTTCTGCTTCTCTTTCTTTAACTATCTTCCATGAATTTGTATAATTAAGAAACATATTTCCTTACACTAGCTGTTAGGTGCAACATTTGGATTCGTCCTTTGAGGTAAGATTCTTGAGAATTCTAGCTGTGTGAGCAGCCCAATGTAGCAATCGAGACTCGAGGGAGAGATTCGTATTCATGTTTATTGCTGAAGTGAGTGTTGTTACTTCTTTTGTGGCCTTACTCCCCCAACTCTCTCTCTTTTTGACTTTCTCTCTATCACTCTGACTCTTATCTATCCACCGATGACTCTCATCTATCCAATGGCACCAGAGCGGATTTTCACTCCGACAGGCTCGTGTGTCGGCGGATGCTCCCTTCTCCACTGCTCAAGCCCGTGCCAGGACTGGGTCCGAGAGTCACTTTCCTCGGATTCCGCCTCTAAGTCCCAGTCTAACTCTTGTTGCTTTCGCTCGGTAGTACTTGTGAAGATCTCTTCTTCATGGTAAGTAACAACAACTTTTTAAGCAGCAGTCACCCCATCTCGCTGACACCTCTCTTCGGCCTTATCACGAGCCTCAGTAACCACCTCCTGAATCGCTGCATCCTCCCTCATTTCTAGCTCTTTTGCCCCCTAAACGTTGATCCTTAACTTTACCGTGTGATCATATTTGTTATAGTTCAGACAGGCATCAACTATGACACCCTCCTCTCTCTTAGGCTCCCAGTTCCAAAAGTATCGCAACTATCTCGGCTTATAGCCATAAAGACCGTTGTTGCGCGTCATAACCACTTGCTAGATAGTCTGAGCGCCTTACACTCAACGTGAGTTATAGTATATCATGCACTAGGCATGGAGACAGATCCCAGCTCGAGCGACCCACAGTGAGTACATCGTCGGCCTTGTAGTAAATGACACGGTGTCGCACTTTTTCCAGTCGAGCCTCTTGGGGCAACCGGAAAGCTAACAGGCTGTCACGCAGGATTTTGACTGTGCTTGCAATAAATCAAATAAATTAAATAATGCAAATCCCTTTCTGTTGTGTGCGTCCGGCTTTGAGCGAGACCCTTCAATTGCGGTCTTCGCCGGTCCCCGGTCGTAGGAATCTTTWATTWTGATTCGGAACAGCAAAGAMTCATGCAAATAATAATCATAAAATTATGGGGTGCTATGCATGCATCAATTATATCAATCTGATTTTGAGAACTGTGACAAAACATCCGCGAAGACAATTATGAAGCAATAATAATGTAGAAAATAAAACTGACTGACTCAAGCAAGGACATGTCTCTTATACACATCTAGATGTGTATAAGAGACAGCGAGCGTGGTCAGCACCTCTCAAGAGTCCTCACTCATCCCTCAGGTTCATCTCTCAATCTCTTTTCACTACTCATCTCGGGTGTCGAGACCCACGCCCTCGTACAATCTGAGACTGTGGCTTCGTGACAAAAAGCCACCTGTAGCTAGCAAGCTCTGAACACGACCACTTGAGGCAAATCACCCGGTAATCAACCATGGAGCAAAACTCCTCCCATAGTGTGGGCAGCCCGTCCACTGAAAAGATCCCTCATCTAAGGTAGGGGTACTCGGTGGGCTCTGTCAACACCTCAATGTCGATCACCGCAAGAGAGAGATATCTCTTTGCCAAACCGATCACATCCAGCCAACTTGTGCCATCTGTAAGAAGAGAAGGGACTGGATAGTCAGTATAGAGCATAGGCCCGAAGCTGCGAATCAACGTAGTGCTACTCTCATCAAGCTCCCTCTCAGTGCCATCGGCAAAACTGGTCTAGACAATGTAGATTGACAGATCTCCCTGTCTGAAGCCAATGGCACTAACATACTGATAATGAAATGCCTCTTTGCATGAAATCAGGTTGAGGCCGGTCATCACTGATTCACTGACCGGAGTAGACTGAACTGTGCTCATGAGTACTCTTGCCAGTACAAACTGACCAGATGATCCTAGAGAACTGGCTGCCGAGCTGACCGCAGGGAACAGATTGTCATAGAACTGACTGCTAGAAACTGATTGCTAATAACTGATTGCTGATTAAATGATCGCTGATGACTAATTGCTAAGCGTCCAAGTAGGTGAGTTGTCCCTGTTCAGAGACAGAACGCTCACTGGTGGTCTCTAACAATCCTCCTTGCTTCCTCCACAGTGCATACTGAAGTTATGGTGGCGCATTGCCTGCCGCTCTTGTCATGCAAGTAGTAAGTGTATTCGATTTTAGTATGATCCCTCACGAGAGCCAGCGCGTATTCCATCATCATAATAGTCTGCTGATGATACTCCTTAGTCGCACTCTCCTTCCAATCCTCTTCAGCACTCTAATACAGCGAGTCGGAGACTAATTGTGTTGCGGTTGTCCATACTCTCACCGAACTCTCACAACATCAGTCCTCTTAACTCGTGACGAGTAACTCTTGCATGATCTGAG